AAAAAGTACTCCAGAGTGTTGTTCAGCATGGGGGTGAGTAGAAAATGAAGGCTAATCATGTTTTGGGTGTACTATTCCTTTAATGATGGCCAGAAAATATATCTTGGTAGATTTTTGTCTTTGTTTCAACACATGATATTGAGTAAAATATTAAAAATAAAGTGTTCAATCCCGGGATTTATGTTTAGCATTTGATAAAATAGGAGCGGGATTAAACAGGGTACATAATAACACACTTACCGTAATTTTAGGACTATTAGCCGCACCTGAATATAAGCCGCAGAAGCTAAATTACATGATTTGTACAAATACAAGCCGCATTGGACTATATAATTTTCTTATGTTTAACACAAACTGTCTTACGCTCGCAATGTCCGTCTTTCTCGCTGTCGTTCTGTCTCGTACCACTCGCGGTAGAAGTCTGCTTCCGGAGGACCTCCGCATTCCGGCGCGCGCGGCTACCGTACTTGTGTGTTGAAGCAAATGTGACGTCAACATGGTGGATGGTAAAATCCATAGATTTAGGTACCGTATTACCCTAGTGGCCGTTAGCTGTAAAAGTCCATAGATAAGCCCCATTGTTATGTAAGCCGCAAAGGTCGAAAAATGGGGAAAAAGTTGCGGCTTATAGTCTGAAAATTACGGTAATTTAAGAATTTTTTGATTATTTCTAGATTGTTTTTGCAGTCTGTTGCATAAAGAGAGACCTCCGGGAAGGATGTAAAAGGGAAACATGGAACAACGGCTGAGCTGCAGGGTGTTTTTAATGACTTCACATAATTGGAGATTTAATCTGACAGATGCCGTGCCGCCCGGCCTGCATGAAACAGATCCAGGAGATGAAGGGAAGGAAACGAAAACAAGATCCAGAACACGGTGATCAAATCAATGATTTCTAGATCCGTATTCTAATCTTCCCACTTACCTGAATGTCTCCCAGTTGTTTTGTGAGCTCCTAAAAGTAAGGAGAAAAGAGAAGTTGGTTTAAGGAATATTGTCTCTGATTTAATGGAGAAACCTGACAGTTTTCAGGTGGCCTTACTTGTGATCGAGGCCCTGGGACTGTAGTTTTCATTAAGGGTCCATCATAGTCAAACTCCACCTGCGTCTTTGCCGCTGCCTTACTGACGTACCTGCAGCCTAATGAAAACATTAATGATGAATTAAAAACATGGCTAGCATCTTGCAGGCATGGATCTGAAGGCTGTTTCTCTGCAGTAATGCGACACCGCTGAGCCGACAGGATCCAGCTTTCCCTGCTGATTTACCTAACAAACTAGGCTTAGCTCTGTGAGGCAGAGGCAGGATGCTCCGTGGGGGTTTCCTGGTGGAGAGGTTACACGGATCGCAGAGGATTTACAGAAACGGTTTCCATTAAACTAGATTTTAATTCTGAGACTGAAGCAGAATCTAAAACTCTTCAGTAAAGGTTCTGCTGTCTGAACGACGCACAGCGCAGTAAATAACACTGATACTGAAGAATGAACCTTCAGTTCAGCTGATTTTAATTAGCCTCTGTTAAATATTGGTTTTAGCATTCTGTAAAAGTTTAACCAGGACAATCATAGGTTCAGTTTGTTCACCTCCTGTCCTCCCCTGCATGGTGCATCTAACCTACAGCTCATCCTCAGAAAGGCTCCTGATTCACATCTACTGTCTACTTTTAAGGCTAGGCTTAAAACTTTCCTTTTTGATAAAGCTTCTAGTTAGAGTGGCTCAG